CCATAAATGTGGGGCCAGTTGGGTTGTGACAGTCCACCTACCTTTCCTAATAACAATCAACCTATCTCATTTGTTTATGATTTTCTAATAATAAATTATTTTTTCCTAGTTGTTATATCTCTAATGCTCCTCAATTAACACACCACACTTCTTGTATGCACTAAATTTTAGCTAAAATCTTTGCTCTATAATCATTCCTTTAATGATGTTTGATCAAATCAACACTAGTTCGTCGCTTGTCCTTCAAATCTAGTTTTTTAATGATGACTCGGCCATATTATTTTTGTTGTACAGTTTTTTATATCTGATGAGAATTGACATTTGGACCATTAATATAATAAGCTAAGAAAACATAAATATGGATATTTGAAGCATTTAATGAATACATATATCAATTGATTGAATACATAGGGACTGATTTTGAATAAATCTTTAACCTTGGCATCATACTCATGTTGTGTGTATGCAATTGCAACTAACTAGACAACACTTCAAGGCTTATGGCAATAATGGCAGCGTTGGTCCTTCTTAAAATTTTTCCTTGGATGACGCATAAAAATCTATGTTCAGTATTAGGAAATATATTTCTAATAGCCTCACCTAACCTTTATTTATGACTGAAATGAAAGTCGATAAAAAATTTCAGAACCAAGAAATTCAACAAATTTTATAAAAAACTCATGCATTTTTTCCTAAATTCGGACTCAACCATTTCAAAAGCAATAGTGAAAAAGACAATTATTACCATCTAGAGAATTTGATGATAATAACGCGCCTAAATATTTTGACTTCAATGAGTTGCTGAGTAATAACAAAGACTTGATCCTCCAAACTCATAAAAGTTTCTCCTGGATGGGATTCTTTGGTCGGACTCTGCTAAGTCCTTCAACAAGTCTTTGGATGTCTTTTTTAATTCTTAGCATAAATTCACATTCATTGCACCTAATAGAATATTGAACCCTATTTTATCTCTGGGTTATGCAAGAATTTTATTGATTTATAGATAATCAGAAGAACTGAGATTTAAGTAAAGAAAAGAAAATCCACTATAATGCTAATAAATACATATTATAAAATAAAGAATTTGTAGCCCTTGGCTCACACTGAAATTTCTATTTATAAATTAAGATCCAAGCTTGGACTTATAATGCTAATAAATACATATTATAAAATAAAGAATTTGTAGCCCTTGGCTCACACTGAAATTTCTATTTATAAATTAAGATCCAAGCTCTTGAGCGCTACAAGGAAAAACTAAAGAATGAGTTGTACATGTGTGCCTCCCAAAACCCTTGGACTAAAGAATGAGTTGTACATGTGTGCCTCCCAAAAACAAACTTGGACTTATAAAACAAGTTTGTCATTAGATGTAGAGGATTTGCTAGGTCTAGAAGAGAATGGACTGAGTGTCTTCTCTAGGCATAGACAGCTACTTAGGCTAAATTGGTGTAATGTGTTAAATGGCTGTCTTGGGCGGGTTTTTTATAAGCTTGTTGGATGTTTCAACCCTAGTTGACCAGTGAATCAGCCTTGTTCCTGACAAGTTGATGCCCTAAATGTAGTTGGGGAGTCCTTGTCACACCCTAACTAATAGAGGCCGAGAATTTGGTCAGACCAACTTTCACCGGCACTCATCCTTGACTTTTATAATCAAAACTCAGTTGATGATGAATTAGTCTAACTGAATCGTCACAACATACATGATACATTGCATTTTATATACATACTTGAAAGCATGGAAATCATAAATGCAGAATATGAAAATTATACAGAGCTAGTAGATCCAATATAATAAAAAATAAATATGTACTTAAAATATATGTATAAAGCTTCCAAAAGTATCGTGCAAAAGCTGTACAAAGGCACACTTGGCTACTCAGCCCGATATTTGTTGCCCCTACCTGGAAGGCAACAAAGAAGAATGAACAACAACGAGCTCAAAAAAATAATCAAGGCAAACATAAGATTTTATACATGAAAAAGAAACGTGCATGCTCGTATGAAACTATACATGTCGAGAACATGAAAAAAGAACGTTTAGGTAGTATAAAAATTAACTATAGTGTAACATGTAGGTCGTAAACATGAAATCATAAATAAAAGCAGATCCATAGTATATTATTGTAGCAATGTCATTTCATAACATATCATAGTAATGTCACTTGTTTAATGTATAGGGTTCAACTATTTCCATATTATTTCATCATGGGTCTTCATCCTACCCCAAAGATCATATAAACTATCGATAAAGGTTGGGTTTCCCCCAACATAGCAGTTATCGATATCCCCCTGATACTCATGGTTCTCAAACGTTCTGTCACCACCTAATTCCAACAATTCCCAGAATTTCGTCTCCGTATAAATATCAAGCGTCACGAATATTATATCTCTGCATAGTGTACTTACAAGCAATCATGTAATAGTTTACCCCCCCTAATATTTCTTGTGACATTTAAATTATTGTTACTGTATCAAGCATAAGGAATTACATGTATCATAGACATAACGCATACTAAATGAATACATGCAGGCAATTAATATCATAAGATTAATCACCTGTATCATACCATGACATAAGTATCGTAAGAAAAGTAAACATGTATTAATACATTCAATTGCAGGTATCAATTTGCAATATGCAGAAATTCTAAATGCATCTACGTCAAAATAAAAATCATATAAAACCTATAGAAGAGTATTTTTTTTAAATTAGCACAAAATTATTTCATTTGACTTAATGACGTAGCCCTAAGTCGAGTATTCACGCGCTCATCTCGAAACCTGGGGCACGGCTTGTCACATCTTATAGACAACCTGGGGCACGTAGATAATATAGAATTTCATAAATTTTGGTTCAAAACATGAATTAACCCAACACATGCATTAAATATCAAAACATATCTTAAAAGGTCTTTATGGCATAAATTTGTTTTTCCAAAAACATCAAATTTCTTTCCAACACTTTCAAACACTTTAATCTTCACTTTCCCCTCACAAATTTTGTGTTAAAACCAGTACAAAAGCTCGCAAAAGACTTTACGTTTCTGACACAAGTTCAGCGCCTCTGACGACAGCCAGAAACGACAAAAACACAAAAAACGAAACAAATGTCAAAACGGAAGTGTGAAGAAGAAAATGAAAGCTTCAAATATCGTGAAAGAGATATTCACACTTACAAAAATTGCCCTAGAGCCCTAAATTGTGAACTGCGGCTTCAGGACTGCCGCTCAGTTCACTACTTGCTCATAGCCACAGTACCCAAGTGCACTTTTGTGCAGAATTTTGTTGCAAACGACGAGACCGCAAGGGAGAGGGGAAGGGAATCAGGAGAGAAGAGAAGGAATTTCGAGAGAGGGGAAGGGAATCTAGAGAGGGGAGAAGGAATTTCGAGAGAGGGCGAAGTTCACCGGCCCTATTCAACCGAACGAAGGAAATAAAATGCGTGGGAGGTCGGTTGGCTATAGTAACAAAGGATTAGGAAGAATTAATTAGGGATTAATTAGGTAAATTAATATATAACTTTGAAATTTTATATCTTCCAATCCATTAACAATTCATGATGGTGCTTTATATAAAATTGATCGATTTCTTGAGTGGAATTTAATGATATCATTTCGATAAAATTTTGAGAGATGAAATTTTGGATTCTTTTTCCATTTTGTCGAACTTTACCTGATTTCTTGAAATTTGGGTGTTGCATTCCTCTTGAAACCTAACTAGCGAGTCTTCTTGAAACCCAATTGTTGAGTTCATATCAATATTCTTCTTTTAGGTGAGTCCACCCTTAAGGTATACATATTTATATATAGGTATGTTACTATAAATCATATTTTAAAATATTCATGAGATTGAATCATCATTAATTTTCAAAAATTTATAAAATAAGAGATTGTATAAGATTACAATAACTTTGTTGGCAATATCAAGTGTTAATAGTATGCTTAATATGCAGAATATCAAAAATATTCCAAATATGATATTTATTTTTCTTGTATTACAAATTAACTTACGAAAATTGAAGTATCTCATCGAGACAATTTTCATTATTTCTACCTTCTCAAGATATTGTTTGTTTAAAAACCTAATAAAATTATCAATTTCCTAATTAGATACACACCATTAAACTAAAAAACTCAAAAATCAATCGATTAAACTTAAATATTATTTTTAGCTTGAAAGAATTCCCCCCATTCAAGCCTAAAACTCAAAGCCACAAAAAATCATATTCTTAACCTGAGTTCCTAGCTTCCCTCTTCTTCTACTCTTCTTGTTCCTTCTTCTTATTCTTCTTCTTCTTCTTCTTCTTCCTCCTCCTCCTCTTCTTGTATCGTCTCTGTTTTACTCGAGAGCTCCTCCTGCTCTCTTTATATTCAGCTCCAGTTCCAAGTTAAGGGAAATATATAAGCACGAAAAACATGGATGAATGCTAAGAGATAGGTATTAGGTATAAATAAATATATAGAAATTATAATATAAACTAATATTCCATCACAGAGGGGGCATGCTTTGCCTGTGTTGGAATAATTAGGAATTCCTACAGTAAGTTTACAGAATAAAAACTACAGGAAATTATTTAATTATTGTTAATATACTAAACCATTTATATATGTACCATAAAGATGAAAATAAAATATAATATTTTATTTAAAAAAAATGGTTCGGACTTGTGATATGTGAAAAATAGCGTATAACTCTTTGAGGGAAAAATTTTCTTGTAGCCTTTTGTGAAATTTTGAGGTATTGCATGCTAGGCACAAGGGAATCTCGTGTAAACATTTTTTTGCCAAAGCGATGAATCTCAAAGAAGACATTACGTGGCCATATATAGTATCCCTTTGCAAGAGAAGTACCCAATATCTCCATTATAAGAAAATAAAAATGAATATTCAAACAGAAAAACATAAAAAACCAGAAAATAAGCAAGATGTTGAGTTACTCGAAAGGACTGCATGAAAGCATGAAGAAAATAACTACAATCATACTACAATAGAATAACTCACAGGTTTACAGCTTATGGGCTGTGCCTCAATGACAGGGATTGATTTACAGAGTTTGTTTGCTAGCGCAGGTGATGCATCACCGGAACCAGCGGTTCCCTGTAGAAAAATCACCAATATGTGAGGAAGAGATGTAAATACAGAAAAAATTGGAATGAACAGAACATATTTACTGGAAAACATGCGCAGAAAAGAAAGTTGTTGCACATTCACTTTCTTCCTTGATCATATTCTTCAAGTTTTTAAATTTAAAAAATAAAACATAATCGGCTTAACATCATTCTTCCTAATTCGATTGTTCTCAAGGTGCTTTCATTGATGAAAAAGGTACTTCAGAATGCTACTCATGAATTTATCCATTTTATCATCAACAAAGAAAGATTCACTCAATTGCAAGGATGACATTGAATAAAGCTTTTCATAGTTGCAAAGGGGAATTTGTTCCGGAAGCCCTAATGGGATAGTTCTTCCAGCATAAATTTATATCTTGGATCAAGAAATACTTGATGCATTTCTAAATTCTCAACTTCTTGTCAAAGGAGAGCTTGGTAAACAGTTTTAAGTGCCACAAAGGTTTAAGAAGGTTCCTCTCTCATCTCTCCATTTTATTACCATTGGGAATGTGCTTCACAAGATGCTTAAAGTTGCAACAAAAGATGGTTGGATTGAATGTTCCAAATGTGGCAAAAGAGGAACATTTATTAATAGTAATCAACTTGTTCATCATATTGCCTCCTCTCAAACTACCATTCTCAATTATTTAGTTTCTTTTTTTAATTTATATTCAAAATTATAAAAATAAAGGATTATTTATTGTTAAAAGGCTTGCTCTCTTGAATATCTCCCTTTCAAATATTCAAGTCGGCTCTTATGATCTGAAGCTTTGCAGAAACACTTTTTGAAACCAGTCATTGAGAAAGACAAAAAGAAAACTCTAATCTAGGAAGAATAAATTGCTATCCAATAGGTTGGCAGATTATCCTAATTAACAGTGTGTCATCACCAATCCCTCTTTACTATTTGTTAACCTACACATGAACCACAAGATAGTACAATCAAACCCAGTCGAAATCAACATTAATGGCAGTCATTAAACACAATATTGTACAAACTTAATTGAATAGCTCAATTACAGTCAAAATTGTTGAAGGGTTGTCAGCTTTGCAGGATGAACTCTGCAAATCAAAAGCACCGAAAATGCCCAAACTTCTTACATTGTCAAATAACCACCAACAAAGACAAAGGATTTTGGACATCACGTAATGATGAGCAAATATTACCTGTTTTCCAAAATGAACAATGCCGATGTTCAAAGAGAAGAAATCTTGAGGAGAACATATCTATTACCTTATACATCACACAAAAGTGAAATGAAAAAAATGTATGCACACAAGGAGACAACACAAAATTCAAGAGTCACAAGATTGATGAATTGTGAATTCGTTTCACAAATTTATTTACATTCTGAGTTGGCTCTTTATGTTGACCTCGATATGAAATTTGATCATGTTCAAAATGTGTGCAGTAACAAGATTGATGTCGGAGTTAACCCAAAATCCGATCAGAAAGCAAATTTTATTACGCCAAAAGCAGCTGGGTTACAAACAAGACTCAATATAGAAAAGGAAAAACAACACAGCATGAATCTCCAGTTAGGGCGAGGTGGAACAGCCGAGGGAATGGTGGTGAGGGAGCTAAGATAGGTAGCGAATGGTTGGGTGGGGTTATGCGGGCTAGCCAACGAAATAAGGAGTGGGAAGGGTTGTTGCTGGTGTAAAAGGGGGGTGCGGACTGGCAGCTAAAGCAGGGAGACAGAAAGTCAGTTGGTTGAATAACAAGGAAAGTCGGCAGAGGGTTGGAAAGCAGTGAAGAGGAGGGTGCAGGCTGACGACAATAGGATGAGTGCATGGACAACAGTGACAACAAGGGGTGCAAGAGAAGCGGCAGCACTGCGGTAGGAGTGCAGAGGGAATAACAATGAGCAGGTGAGGTGGACAGGATGTAGGGATCAAGGAGATAACCACCACCTCGGAGCAAGATACAGCGAAGCACCTGCCCTCGGATACAGCCATAGCAGGGAGAAAAGCTGACGACAAAAAACCTAAACATCAAAATTGAACCCTAAAATAAAAAATAACATATTTATAATAGAGAATAACTGGGAGGGGAAAATCCTACCCACTTGGTTGAACCCCCCAAGCTTCTGCTGAACGGGTTCAACCGACACAGCTCTCCAACCCTCACATTAGTCTCCCAGGGTTGGCGGAGCTTCGACTTCCCTACCCTCTTGGTTGAACCCCCCCAAGCTTCTGCTGAACAGGTTCAACCGACACAGCTCTCCAGCCCCAACATTAGTCTCCCAGGGTTGGCGGAGCTTCGACTTCATTTGTCGAAAATTTTATCTGATCATTGAAAGTAGTAGAACCATTATAATCTCCCGGAGTTGGGGTCTTCGAATACGGTCCCAAAAGCACCTGGATCTTGATGTCGACTGCACTATCACCCAAAACACTGGAGGAGTTTTCTCCACTAAATGGCATGCATCCATATTGATCCAATCTTTTGGAGGTACATCACTAAACTGAACTGAACTGGGTCTGCGCGTACGACATATATGGCTGACTCATCCTAAAGTAACCCATGGTTGGCTCAATCTAATATAAAGTGAGAATAATTTGAGCCTCTCAAACAATGGTGGTCATGGAAGTTAGGTATCGATGGTGATGTTTTGAAATGCACTCTGCCGTAACTACCTCATGTCTGGAATCGGTGTCTCAGCCCTATCATCCTCTGTCGTAGCCAAAATTAGTCTCTGACGTTGCTCTACTAGTAAGGGCACTTATGATCTCAGGCTTCGTCGAATGAAGAAGAACGACGTGTCTTCCCTCCTTAATGAAGGGGTATGTGTTTTTGAATTTATCGTTCTATGTCTCTTACAATCTAATTGCCACGATCTCCCAAGCAAAAGGTGCCAGACATATATGGGTGCTATATCGCACCACATCTGATCCTGCAGCTAGCTCCTAATCAAAAACTCCACTAGGCACCTCCGGTTGATGTTGGCCCTATTCTCTTAATTCAATCACATCAGAGAACATAGTTGGGAATGCCTCTGAGTCATTAGGTTAAATTTCTCCACTATCTACGTAGATGTTACATTCTTGTTGCATCCTCCACTGATGAGAATGCATACATTCTCGTTCACAATGCAACAGGTGTAAAATATGTTATGGTAGAGCCAGTGTAGATCCCTGTATCATCAGTTTATAGAACCCATCAAACCAACAACATCTCGCCCTCATCCAGTGAAAGATGATACAACTCACTATGCTCCTCAGCTGTCTCCTCCTCGCTATCCTCCTCCACGGCGCCCTGTTTGGTAAAAGACACGACTCGACTTGTTGGGCAGCTGAAGGTGATGTGCCCAAATCCATGGCCTCTAAAATATGTTCGGGCGAGAGTTGGAGTAGGTTTCCTACTTTTCTCGGGCTTCTTCTCACATGGGTGGCTTTGTCCTTATCCAGACCAGTTTTCTCAACTCTCTGAGACATGCTCAAGTTGTTTTCTTCAACTACGGTTGGCTGCCTGAATAATAGTGATTGCCTGCTCTGTTTTTGTTGTCTCTCCACATCCATGGCTAAGGTCTAAACATCTCGCAGAGACCAAAGGCTATAGTTGAACAATGTTGTTGATAGCAAACTTCAAATGCCCCAGATATTGGGCTATGGAATGCTCTTCTAGCTCGACCAACTCACACTTCATTCGTAACGGTCAAACTACGTTGTAAACTCTTCCACTGGTTGGTATCTCTGTTGTAAGTGGAGTCTAAAAAGCATATCTTGGCCGTAATAAGGATGCAAGTATTTTCTCCGCATCACCTTCCTCTTCTCTCACTTAGTAACCATGTTACTGCCTTCTCTCATTCTCAGCCTCTGCAAGTTTTCCCACCAAAAGAAGAAGCTCTTTCTCAATTTGATAGCAGCAAGCTTACTTTTATCCTCTGACACTTCTTTGTACTCGAAGATCCTCTCAATTGATTGTTGTCATTTGATGAAATCATTGGGATCCATACCTCCATCGAACTCTGGTAGGTCTTCTTTGATGCCAAAATCCTTGTGTCCTCCGTATACAACCTCCTCTCTCGGCCTCCGCTGATATTGAATTCCAAAGCTTTGGGGTCTGTCTTTCTCATCACTTGAGATATCCCTATGGAAGGGATTCAAATACCCTCTCTCCCCTTCGACTCTCCATATCACGATCGAGGGTAACATCCTCCCGGATTCCATCATCCATCTCTGCAAACTACTCTTGAAGACAATAGCACTCTCGTTGTATCTCTTCTTGGGTAGGCTCGGGCCTGTATCTCCTTGATAATATGGTTAGGGTTGGGATTTTGGGAGTGGAAAAGACATTTGGTGATAACAATTTTTTACTTTTTTTCGGAGATGGTTTGGGTATTGTGAATGCTAGAAATCCCTAAGATGGATGATTAAGCTAGCTCTGATACTAATTGATATCGGAGTTAACTCAAACCCCAATTGAAAAGCAGATTTTATTACACTGAAAGCAACCGGGTTCCAAACAAGACTCAAAATCATAAAAAAAAAAACACAGCATGAATCTCCAGCAAGGGCATTCAAAATAAAAAATAAAAATAAAAAAAAAACACAGCATGAATCTCCAGCAAGGGCAAGGCGGAACAGCCAGGGGAATGGTGGTGAGGGAGCTAGGATAGATAGCAGGGGGCTGAGGGGGGTTATGCGGGCTGACGGCTGAAATAGGGAGTGGAGAGGGTTGTTGCAGGTGTATAAGGGGGGTGCGGACTGACAGCTAAAGCAGAGCGTGGGGAGGGTCTTTGCGAGTATAGGAAGGCAAGCCGGTAAAGGGTTGCAGAGCGATGAAGAGGATTATGCATGTAGAAAACAACCAGGTGAGTGCGGGGAGAGCAGCGACAATCAACGGTGCAATAGATGCGGCAATGGGATAGGAGTGCAGGGGGAATAATAGCGAGCTGATGGTGTTGAAGGGAGGAGGGTCGACAATCAACGGTGCAAGAGATGCGTCAATGGGATAGGAGTGCAGGGGGAATATAATAGCGA